TTTGAGGCTCTAATGACTCTGAGGCTATTTTATTTTCCTTATACCAGAAAGGAAAAGTGATTAGATCAATCACAACATGTTAGGCCAAATGTTACAATCAGCAACACCATAGCATCAAGCGCAGCTTAGAAAATGACAATTTGTGGTAGTTATTAATCTACCACATTTAACTATGTGAAGTATAATCCCCTGTGCCTCTGTAGTGAGGGACCAGGTAGCAGAAGAGCCGTAAGGTGGCGCGGGGCAAGGGTGATGGAATTGGGCCTTGCAGGTGCCCGTGCGGCTAAGCAGAGCACCGGATGAAGGCAGGGCTCCAAGCCGCTCCTGGGACCTCACCGTTACGTGGATAGGAATCAGAACACAGAACACAGCCGAGGAGCCTCAGGTTGCTTGGCCGACCCATGGAGAGAAGCTCCGGATGTAGGCGGGGCTCCAAGCCACTCCCAGGACCTCACCGTGCCCTCAGCGTTACCTTTCACCACCCACTGAGCCTTACTGATGAATTGATATAGACCTGAAAACACTCTAGGAGAAGGAAATCACTATTCTCCAGATGTTACAGAGGATGGATCAAAGGCAGAGCGAAAATGAATTATACAGCCAGCTACTTACTGCTGGCACCAGAATATAATTCATAGACCTGATTCAATTGCCCCAAGGACACTGCCTGTTTATAACAAAGCAGAAGCTTGAGACCAAATTGCTGGCAATACTGCAGCGACACTGGATCCCCTATGAGCTGTGGTGGGAGTGAGGAGTGGGGCAGCCACATTAGAAAAGAATTGCAAACTTCTTTCAAAGCTGTATGTGCAATGGTCATACAACCAGCAATTACCTTCCTGAGCACGTCGCCCCGAAAAAATGCAAACTGATGTTCAAACAAAAATATGCACAGATGATACAAAAATGCCTGAATAAATGCATACAAGAGTTTTGTATGAACTAGCTACAGCTGGAAATAGCTCAGATGACTTCCAGAAGGTAAAGGGGCAAACTTAGCTATGTCCATATTATAGAATAATATTGAGCAGTAAAAGGGATCAACTGTTGATTCAACAATGAGTGAATCTCCAGAAAAGACCATTGAGTGAGGAAAAAATTCCTAAAAGTTTACATCCTGTATGATTCCATTTATGTAAAATTCTTGCTTTGCAATATTACAGAGATGCAGGACACAGTAATGGTTGCCAATGGTTAAGGAACATTTGAGTTGAAAAGCAGTGGGAATAAATATAAAGAGACAATGTAAGGGATCCTCATGCTGTTGAAAATATTCTACATCATGATTCTATCGTATCAATATTCTCATTGTAATTTTACACTATAGTTTTGAAAAAATGTCACCATCAAAGGAAATAACCAGAGGGTATACAAGATCTCTCTCATGTTACAGCAGGCGCATGTGAATCTCTATTTCTCAAAAT